CTGAGCCGTTGTCCGTAATCATCGAACCAGCCCACAGCCCGCAACAGTGCACGGGGCTGTCTGCACCACGGCCTCTCCGGGCCCCGGGGACACCGGTCTCCTGGTCGTGCCGATTTCGGCAGGCGGAAGGCAACGTCTCCCCGCGGTGCTGACCTGCGTCTCCGTGAGGACAGGTGATGCTGAGCACCTTCCCGTGCGCCTGCTGGCCCTCCGGGTGCCTTCTTTGGGAAATGTCTGTTAAGTTTCTCCGCCCATTTCCCAGTCAGATCTTTTTCTTTGTTTGTTGGGGGTTTTGTTATTGAGCTGCATGAGTTCTTTATTGATTTTGGACGTTAACCCCTTGTCGGATGTACAATTTACAAACACCCTCTCCTGCTCCACAGGGTGCCTTTCGCTGTCTTGACTATTTCTGTTCCTGGTAGGCGCTTCTTTACATGACGTGACCCCACTTGTCCGTGTGTGTGACCTGAAGTCACGTGCAGGAAACTGTTGCCAAGACCGAAGTCAAGGGCGTTCTCCTCTATGTTTTGTTCTGGCGACCTGACCATTCAGGCCTCGTGTCCAAGTGCCTCACCCACTTCGGGTTAAGTGTTGCGAGCGGGGAAGACAGGGGTCCCACGTCCCTCTTCTGCACTGGCGGAAGTTTTCCCGGCGCCACTTCCCACAGAAGCCACCCCCTTGTCAGACCGCCGGCTGTGCAGGCGGGAGTTTGCCTCCGGGCTGGTTCTTCCATTCCGCTCCCTTGGCCTGCGTGTCTGCATCTAGGCTGGTGCCATGCTGTTTTGGTTGTGATGGCTTTGTCATATAGTTTGAATGGGGGGGTGCCTCTGGCTTTGTTATTGCTCAGGACTGCTTTGGCCATTCAGGATTATTTATGGTTCCAGAAGTACTTTAGGGTTCTTTTGTCCATTTCTGTGAAAATCACCATGGAAATCTGATAGGGGTTGCGTTGAATCTACAGATGGCTTTGGGAAGTATGACTACTTTAACAATATTCATTCTTCTGGCCCATGAACACGGGGTATCTTTCCACTTGTTTGTGTCTTCTTCAACCTCTTTTGTCAAATTCTTGTAGTTTTCATTGGGTAAATCTCTGCCTTCCTTGGTTTAATGTATTGCTAAGTATTTTGACTGTTTTTTATGCCATCGTGAATGGGTTTTTCTTTGTTTCTTTTCCAGGTATTTTGCTGTTACCATATAGAAACTCAGCTGATTTCTGAATGCTGGTTTTGTCTCTTGCAACTCTGTTGAATTTGTTGATTAATTCCAACAGCGTTTTGCGGGAGTCTCTAGGATCTTCTACATATAATATCATATCGTCTGCAAATAAAGACTTTACTCCTGCCTTTCTGATTTGCTGTCCTGCATGACCGCTTTGCCTGGGATTTCCACTACCGTGCTGAACGGGAGTGGCCGGGGTTCTTGTTCCCGATCTTAGAGAAAGGCTGACATCACGCAGCACTGAGAGTGAGTCAGCTCTGCTGTGCGGCCGCTGTGTTGAGGAGCGCCCGCTTCTTTGCTGCCGAATTGTTGAGGGTCTCTCTTTAAATCGTGAAAGGATGTTCGCCTGAGAGAGGGGCCGTGCCTGGAAAGCCCGCGGTGCGGGTGTGGAGGCCCGTACGTTCTCCCTGGCCCTTGCTCGGGGGTCCTTGGGGGAGGAAGACTCTGCCTCCCTCTAGGGCACGAGGTAGCCCTGCAGGGGTCTCCTCCGCCTTCAGCTCCTCGGCTCCCCTGGGGACGCGCTCACAGAGGTTGGCTGGGAAACCGTGTCCTCGGGGGGCCCACAAGGCCCGCCCATGACAGTCAGCCTTCCGCCGACACCCAGGGGCCCAGACAAGGACCCTCGGACTCTCCTCGCTCAGCCTCTGTGCACACGTTAGAACGAAGCTGCGACACTGGGAGAGCAGGCCTCCCTGGTGCCCGAACCTCAGGGCGCGGAGGGGCCACTCCGCGGTCACTCTGGGAGCCCCAAACACAGCGGAAGTTTTGTTTGCATGTTAAATTTCTTGGGGGGTCATTGTCACCTCAGTGATGGAAATGTCTAGGGCACATTGTGTGGGTCGGCAATGGCTGGAAATTGAAGGACTGGTCGGGGTCATGGGAAACCAGGACTGTGGCATGGCCCTTCCCGGGCCCCTGGCAAGTCCCTGTTTCCACCGAGCACTTGAGCTGGACGTGGATGAAGGGACTTACGAGCCAACATGATTGAAGGGAGACATCTTAGCTAGTGTCAAGGTGCGATGCAGTCACTTCCAGAAAATGGCACCTCTGTAACCACTTCCTCTCCCAGGGAGCTCTCGGGAGACTCAGACCTGGGAGGTCCCTGACTGCTGCCCGGAGATTGCGTTTATTGGAAAGGGCAGCGAATTAAAGACACTCTCCGGTCTCACTGGGAGGGAGCTTATCGGGCGCCTAACTGTGAAGGGACACCCACCCTCCTCTCCGACGCGCCCCCGGCCACCGCAGACATCCGAGACTCCGGGGAAGGAGACGCTGCCGGCCCCGGAGGCAGCAGCGAGGCCTGTGCACCTGCCAGTGCTGTTCGACACAGGAAACAGCGGAATGTCTGTCTTTACCTGCCTGGCAGCGACACTAGCCCTCATAACAGTTATCCCCGTTCTGTGAGTTTTTCCACAGAGCCCACCGTTCATGATCACTGAACAGTGGTCGCCTTCGTGGCTGACAAAAATGTCACACGAGACGCCAAATGCAGAAACCGTGAGGCTGAAGGAGAAACTCACACCAAGAGAGTTCGCAGGGTGGAGAAGACCAGAGCGTCACCACCATGAGGCCCTGCAGACCCTTCCGTTTGCCTGCCCTTCCCTCCGGGGGGACGTTCAGCCTCCTGGGCTCAGCGTCACCCACCCCGTCTGCGGCCCACCATTTCTGCAGGACAGCATCGACACTGAGGCTTCCCAGAACCGAGCCCTCCCAGCCCCGCGAGACCAGCCCATCCGAACGAAGGGCTGGTGGTCGTCCGGGCATCCCTCGGACTGATTTACAGTCCAGAGGGGACCTGGGGACGGACCCAGAGCTCCACAGGAAGCAACCACGTGCCGTGGTCCGACCGCAAACTCCTGACGGGGCCCGTCACGGTGGACAGTCACACCCGTAGCTTCTCGCTTTCTTTCTTACCGACGGTGCTGGGGTGGAAGGGGTTAATCTAACCCTGTAGGTTTCAAGTGTCCGACTCAGTGACCGTGGTCTGCACCCCGCATCCGGCTCTCACCACCGAAGTCCAGTCTCTCCCCATCACCACCCACCCCCGCCCGGCCCTCGTCCTCCGGGAGAGGTTTTGCGCCACCCGTGCGCTGTCCCTGTGTGTCTAGGTGCGTGTCTGGGTCCACAGAGCTTTGAGAGGATGAAAGCGAAGCCCCCCCCCACCCCAGGTGCTGCCTCCCCTGAGAGGACTCGTAATCTTATCAACTGTCTCGTAACCCGATCCCCCCTCCCCTCCTCCAGTCTCCTTAGGTTCCCTCCTTAATTTCAAATGCATAAAGGAAACTGCAAAACCATTATTCTCTGGAGAACCCGAGATCCCGCTCCCCGGCAACCACCCCCGGTTTGGCTCGAATGCGCTCTCATTAGAAATCCTCTGCAGGTCTGGACGCTTCTCACGTCGACAGCTCCTCCAGCTCCACAGACACTCAGCGTGTTCCTAGCACGAGCTTTCTGAGAAGGGGATGGAGGTGCCCTTTATCCCGCCGAGTGTCCACATGATATTCCAGGGCGAGCCGAGGGGCAGAAAGTTCACACCAGGAATTTGTCTAAACGGTTCAACTAATCTATCTGCTTTTAAACTAAATTCCTCATGATTTTACCAACAGTTATTGCCAGTGCATTAGGACGGTGAAACAGTGTTCTCACATCTATGCAAACAGCCGTTCACAGCCACGGCGCCCCGGGGCAATGCCGGCCCTCCACCCGCCTTTCACCTCGTTACAGGACATAGGAGACGCAGCCCTCTCAGCCCAGAACGTTTACGGGTGTGCGTGCGGGCGGCGCACACGCGGCTGTCAGTGACCCCGTCACGCCCGATGACAGGAACAGCCCCAGCTGAGAAGCGCTGAGGCTCATGAAAAGCACAGACAGCAGTCAGTCCGAACTCACTGCCGCACAGGGCCCACTGCACATTAGGGTGCGTCGGGTGGGCACACGCAGAAGCACACGGCGCCATCTCCCTGGCCACGGCGCACATGTCACCTCCGCAGGGGCGTGTCCTCCTTCCTGAATGCTAGAGACGCACATTGAGGCCAGTGGCAGGTAGGGAATCACAGGGCACGCGTGTGATTCTGAAGTCGTAAAGGACTCCATGACAGGGGGGGTTTCAGGGCGACTGTGGCACAGGCAACATTTGCTTCTACGACATGATCGCCTGTTGAGGTGATTTTGAAAATCGATTTAAAATTTCACGAGGGGATGTTACCCTCCTGGGGCCGTGTGGGTTTATCACGCAACCTTTCATCCAGGGGTCATTTCAGGTTACAAGTCTCCGAAGACAGAACAAACTCCAACTTCCACACAAGTGTGTTTTCACGAACCGCACCCAGGACCACCCTCGGCATGAAGGCAAAATTCACCAAACTCTCACACGACCTGCAGACCAGGAGCTCCAAAATGCGTGCCTCACCCGCCCTCCCCACCAGAACAAGTTCCAGTGAGATTCCAGAGCATTTAGTGCCCCCAGTCGGAGCCACCGGCAGAAGCCTTAGTCCACCTCTAAAAGCAAAGCACCAGAGAGACACTTCCGGGCAAGTCCCTCAGCCACCTCTTCACCTTAAAACAAATCTGCACCCCCAAAACACGGCAAAGAAGTTACCCCAACTTCAAGTCCTTTATCAAAAGGAAGCACACCCACGATAAGACATACATTGCTGAAAGAATTTTTTAAAAACTGTTGTTTCATTGCAGTCACAAGTACAGATTCCGTAGCCAAAACTAACTTGTGGCTAAAACTAAAAGCAGGAAAGAGGCACACGCTCACCGCTCTGGGCACCAACCTGGAACGGGCTGCGGCGCTAGCACCACGGCGGGCAGCGGCCGGCGGGCAGGAGCCAGTGTGGACAGGGACAGGGCGACGGGGCGGGCCGGCGCGGGGGGCTTCTCGTACCCGTGGAACACGTGTGAGTCCCCGGGGTAGATCCACGCCGAGTCCAGAGCAAGGGCATTGTCCACGAAGATCTGTTCACAGAGAAAGCAAGTGACAGTTCCGACCACACACGGCAAAGGCTGAAGGCTGCTGCGTTTGTCTTGTGTTCCACTGATCAAATATCGGGGCGTCTGGAAGTGGGGGCTCGATAAAAGTGCCCTTCTCCAACCAAGACCCAGCAACAGTCACCGTCTGGTTAAAGCTTCTGCACGAGGCTTCGCGTGTGGACTCGGCCACATCGGCACCGAAGCCCATTTCCCGGTTAAAGAAGCGCCCGGTGAGTTGTGCGGTGTAGACAAGGCACCACCCTAACTTTTTTTGTTTAGTTTTCAGTTAAACAAAGTGTGGCCAGTAAGTCTGAACTCGAAATCCAAAACAAACCATCAGAAAGATGAACACTGAAAGCTGTACCGGCAAGAAAAGCTCACGGTTAACACTTCCACTGGGATTGTGTAACACGGAGGCGATCTTTCGATCAGTGGGCACAGGGCAAAAACTGGAAATTGTAAAAACTAGATTTGGGTCTGCAATTGAAAAAATGTGTATCGCTCTACGGGACCCAAATGTCGTCAACAAAAACAGCCCCTGCCCCACCCTCTGCTGGCTTTTTGGCAGACAGATCTCATTCTGAAGAGACCTCTCTCTGCACCCGGACGGTCAGTGCGGTGCAGTCAGCACAGAGAAACACACTGCTTCCTGCTGGTGTGGAAATGCCCGGCCACTTGGCGATGGAGGCCCATTTCCCCGGTGAAGCCGAGAGCGTTTTTACCTTACAGTTAGGGATCCGTTTGTGTAGCCAGCTTTTCCCGACAGGAGGTGGGAGGGCAGACGGGCAGGCGTGTGGGAAAATGGGCACCAGCTCCGCCGTGGAGGAGGGGGACAGTCCCACAGACAGAGAGGGGCCACCGAAGAGCCACTGGAACACAAGAAGGGAGCAGGGGGTGCTCGTTAGCCTGGAACACTCACCTCTACTTCCTGCCAGAAGATGCTGGGATGGTGCTGTTTTAACAAAGGGAGTGGAAAAACATATGTATTTGATTATGAGAAAAATTCCCTTTTCCCCCGGTCGAAAACCCCACAAGTTTTTCACAAATTTTAGAGATGTATGTTTTCACATCAGAACCATGAACGAGCACTGCCCACACTGAGTCCTTCGAGACTGAGGAGGAGCCTGGGAGCCCAGACCCGTGAGAACGGGGTGAGAGGGAAGGCTGGGCATCGCTGCGGGACTCGCGGCCAGCGGAGCCCTGCGTGTGGGCCGGCCCTTCCGGGAAAATACCTTGTACCAACCATGCTCGTCATTGTGAAGACAAACACGAATCGAGTTCTCAGAACAGCGAGCTGGGGGGTTGAGACGTGAAGTCACCCGCGGCTCCCCAAAGGCCCCAGAGTACAGGGTGAGAGAGCAGGGGCCGCAGGAGCCAGGCCCTCCCGGGAACCGTCTCCCCGACTGAAATAATCGCGTCTCCATCAGGCAAGAACTAACAGAACCACTGCTCAGTCAGGTGGAATGCTTCAACAGCTATTTCTTGTTGAATCGTAAGAGCATCTGTTTAACTCTCCTGTTCCATGAAAATGTTCTCTTGGCTCTAAAGATGGTCATTGGACAGAAAACAGGTACCACGAAAATATTTAAAAGATGAATAAGGTTTGCAGATCTTTCTCTTTTAAATTACACAGAAAAAAAGGGGGGCCAGCATTCTCTCCCGGAGGGAAAATCGCAGTTCCTGGACCTCATACACCTCTAGTGGCGGCGCTCGGCTACAGCAGCCCCGGAACAGGCTGAAGCGGCCGCCGTTTATTCAATGAAACCCGGTACGAACTGCATCACACACCGAGATCCTCTCCAGGACCGCCCGTGCGGCGGAGCTCCGGTCTGAAGGCCAGAGCAGGAGTTTGACATCTTTCAGAAGGGCTCGGAGGACAGCCTCGGGACACAGCGGGTTCCACGGCGCTCCCACGCGCCGCTCATTTGAATATGCTAATGAAGACGATCCTTGGAATAAAATGCATGCTACCCCGCCCCCCCCCGGTTTAAATGCATCTGCAAACAATGGATCCTGCCAAAACCAGCCTTGCACCACCAACCGAAGAAGGCACAGCCGCTTCTCCTTCCCAATCCAGGTCTCAAACCCGAGTGTTCCCTGGTGCGGCCGGGCGACAGCGGGCTAATTAGGTGGCTCAGGCGGGCCTGGGGGAGGGGGCGGGGGCGGGGGGGCCCGGGGAGGCGGGGGTAGTTTATCACCAGTAACAATTCTCGGTATTAAAGGCAGGATTTCCCTGCCGGCTTCCATCGGTTTGAATTCTCTTAAGCGTTGTCCTGAGTCTATTTTCACATTTAAAAAAAAAAAAAAAAGCCCAACCAGATCAGAATCAGAAATAGCTATCGATTCCCAGCTCGCTTTTCAAGTCTGGCGAAGACTGTAAAAGTATTAACTTCTCCGCGATAAGTCGCCACTGTGCGCCGCGGCCGCCAGCGGCTCCGGCGGGGCGACTTCAGCACCGCGCTCTGGACAGCGACCCCGGCCGGGGCTCAAGTTGTGGCCAGGGCGGTCCCCCCTCCCACCCCCTGGGGCCTCGGGGTGCGAGTCTCTACACGGCTTGGCTGTGAGACCGCGAAATATACTGGAAAAAAACTGCCTGGAGGCAGAACGGGACGGCGAAGCATGAACTTTGCTGCCGGAGCTCGGCTGCCTTTGCTGCGTCCTGGGGTTTGGGGAGCCAGGACGCCAGGGGTGGGGGAGCTCCAGCCCCGGGGCCAGGGCAGCCCGGACCACGAGGGCCGCACCCAGGGGCAGAGGGGACGCGGGACGCGGAGCCCGGGGGCCCGAGGCTGGGGACAGGGGCACCTTACCTGCCCGTGGAGCAGGGGGAGGTGGTGCGCAGCGGCGGCGGTGTGGTCTGGCGCAGAGGGCAGCGGCAGCAGCGGCAGCAGCGGCTCGCCGGGCGCCTGCCAGCCCGGCGGCCCCTGGAGCAGCGGGGCGGTGGGGGGCTGGGCCGTAGCGAGTAGCAAGGGCTGGGGCGCGACCCCGGAGCCCAGACGGAGCAGCCCGGCCGAACCGGGGACCATCCAGACCCAGGGCGGAGGCGGCGGGTCTGCATTCATCGGCCACAGGAGAGGCTGCCGCCGCCGCTGGAGCCCGGCGCTCACCAGCATCCTGCATCCCCGCGCGGGCGGCGGCGGCAGCGGCGGCGGCGGGGGCGCGGGGGCGGCGGGCTCCGAAACGAACTCACTTGGTTCCGCGGCGGCCGCTCGCTCCGCCCCTGCCCCGCACGGGGAGCCCCTCCTCCCGCCCACCGCCCTCCCCTCCCGGAGAGGCCTCTGCGCCGCCGCCCCCGCGGAGCTCGGTCCGGAGCTCCGGCCCGCCTGCGCCCGGGACCTAGGTCCAGGCCCCGCCCGCACGCCCGCCCGCACCGACCCCCCCCCAGCTCCTTGCCCCGCCTGCTTGTCCGTACCCTCCCTGGGGCTGCGCGCCCGCGCCGGCGGGCCTCCGGGCAGGCGGGGCGGGCGGGGGCGCGGGAGCTGAGGGCGCGCTTGGCCCGGATCCCGCGGATCGCGCCCCCGGACTCCCGGGCCGCTGCTGGAGGCCGCCGGCCCTGGCGGGCTGTGCGCACGGCGCGGCGCGGGAGGCACACACGGTGGCCCGGGAGCCAGAATCCACCCGCGGCGGCGAGCGGAGGCCCGGGTGGCCGCGCAGGAACCGGGCACATCCTGCTGCCGGGCGGGGCTGGGGGCGCCAGCCGGGACCGCGCAAGGTCTGCTCTTGGCCGGACTGGACTCGGGTCAAGGGCGCAGGGTCCCCGAGGGGATGCTGGTTGCAGACCCCGACGCTAGGCGGCACTGGTGGCCGCTGGGGACGGGGAGACCTGGCTCGGGAAGACGTGCCGCGCACTTTCCTAAGGCCCCAGCGGGTCCTCCTTCCCGCGGCTCCTACCCCACGCCCCACTAGCTCCCGTGGGTCTCCTCCGAGCCTCTGTGCGGGACGTCCCAATTGTCCCGTGGAAGGGCCCTGTGAACTGGTCCTGAGGTCCCGCAAGCGCAGCCCTGTGCTCCCCTTTCCCCGCCGCGCGCCGCCCACGCGGCGCAGCACGGGCTGCCTGGGGCCTAGGACCGACCCTTCCTCCGAGGACCATGGCTTGGCCCGGAGCCTGGCTCAGGCTGCTCCCGAACAGTCACCGCCAGGCGGCGTGCGCCCCGGCCGCTCCCACAACCTCCCTCCTGCCACAGACCCGCGTCCCTGGGACGCCCAGTCTCCTCCCTGTGATCCCTGCCCGGAACGGCAATGTGAAGACGGAGCCCAGCTGCGGGCAATTCCTGCTGGGGGGCGGGACGGAGATTTCTCTGGGCCACTGGAGACTCCAGGTCGCTGGGTGGGGAAGACAGAGCAGCCAACCTGCAGCGCAAGCCCAGTGCGCCTTGGGAGAGTTAGACGAAGGGGCTTCCTGCCGCTCCAAGCCCAGGCGGCGTTGCGAGGCTGGCGTTCCAGAACTCGTAGGAAAAGCTCGCCGTGGCCTGGCGGGACAGCATGCGCCGACCCACCTGCGCCCACGGACACTCCTGAGGCTCTCCAAACCTGGGCTCCGTCACCTCTGAACTGTCCGCACCATCCTCCGGAGAAAAAGCAAGGGACCTGAGCGCTTCAATTGGCTTCTAGGGCTGTCTCCTCATAACCCTAATTTGCTTAATTCCCTCCTGCTCTGGCAGGGCTTCCTTCAGATCTGGGCATATGCTAATTTGCATGGCTGGTATCTCCACATTTTCTCCATGCAAACCGTTTTTTCAATTAGCAAATTCCTCTCTCTTTGATGCACAAGTCCTGGCAAGATCTTGTTTTTTCTCACCTAAAATCAAACAGCTCCGCAGATAGGGAGCTCGTTACTATTCAGCTCAAGCTTCTAATTCATGTGCATCTGTCTGTAGGTGCCCGCAAATGTGACGGTGCCGTCCTCCCGATTGTCACAGCCAGGCTGTGGGGCGGGGCCGGCCACCTTTAGGCGGATGACATGGGCCCCTGAGAGGGCCCTGCATGCATAAGAGCTATGACCCTCCTCCATCGTTTGGAAGCTGGGCCTGGGGACCGTCATGGCGGAGTCGGCTGTGCATGCTGCTCTCTGCGGAGACCAAGCGCCCCGCCCACTCACCCCACGCTCCCAGAAAGGCGGGCTTCAGCCCCCCTCTGCGGGTGCCTCCGCAGGCACTGGGGGGTCTCTCCCCATTCCCACACAGTACTCTCTGTCCTCAGAGTGGTTCTGCTGCGGATACTGGCTTCGTCACTGGGCCCCTGTGTCCTGAGGCTGAGATGCCTTGGGCCACTGCTGGACTCTGAATGGAAGCTGGAAATCACTGGTTACTACCCACGCAAAGACCCTCAGGGCACCAGCCGCCCTGTGTGCACTCAACTCGGCGCTTGGAACCCTTTGCCGCACCTGTCGAGGGCTTCATTGCAGGGACACAGCTAGGGCATCACAGGTGCAGGACGGCTCCCACTGGTGACTCTCAGACACCATGGGGCACCCAGGTCACGGGCTCCCCATTTCCACCCCCCACTCCACCCAGGACCAACCCTGCACCCCACAGACAAGAGACGCGCACCCCAGTTGGGGTTCCGGTGATTCTCAGCACAGGGAACCCTGCCCTCCCTGACCTCCAGGAATCGGGGCAGGGCCAGCTGTGGGCAGGGGTCGTACCAGGTGGACCTGCCACTAGCCTGCGGGTCTACTGACCCGTCAGCGCCCCGAGGGGCCCGACCTGGGCCGGGCACATGGCTGGTGTTCCATGTTTACATGGCTTTGTCCGCCTGTAAAACACAGTGAGAAAATTAGATTTGTACCCGGCCCGCCCTCCACGGTATTCATTCCATCCCTCCGTCCCTCGGTGCAAGGTGACAACATGCAGTGCAGGTTATCGCCAACGGTCACCTCCTGTCACCTCCTATCACCTCCTATCACCGCACTTCACGGTCAGCAGTCTTTGCTCCGAGGGCACTACAGGGAACTCTGGATCTTCTTGTTCACTCCATATCCCAGCCTGGGCCTTTCTCCTGTCTCTTAGTGATTCTCGGACCCCCCTTCCCCCGCCATCAAAGGCAGAACAGTCCCTCCCTGAGGCTATTCAGGGGTTTTGGTAAGTGTGGCCCTCATGGCGACTCGGTGCTGACTGTGGGACAGACAACAGGACACCCCTGTCAACAATCTGTCACTCGGTTGTAGTGTCCGCCTGTCTGGCTACCTCCCTGTCTGTCTCTCTAAGACGTGCACAGAGGCCTCCCGAGCTGGGATGTGTGGCCGCCGTGCGGGGAGAGTGGGGTCACTGTCAAACCCTCAGGCAAGGGCGGGGCTCCAGGGAAGGGTGGGCAGGGCCAGGGTGGGAACCGGGCTCCAGTCCCCTCTCCTCTCCCTGGACACCTGGCAGGAAACCGAAGGCCCAGGGGAACGGACAGCAGAGCCTCCAGCTCTGTGGGGCCCCTCCCGGAGTCTCGGGGAGGCCCATGGCTCAGCACCCCCAGCCCAGGGACGGAGCTGCTAAATGACCACGTCTCATCCACGAGGACTTTGGGGGCGGTGCCCAGACAAAGGGGCCGGGGCGGGGATCCAGCCACCTGGGAGGCCCCGAAGGTGTCCACCCAGAGGGGCCCCTCCCTGAGATCCACAGGGGGGCAGCCTGGGAGCCGGGACAAGAGAGAGGCAGTGATGAAACCGATGTCCCTGTGCTGGGAGGTAAGTGCACCGAACGAAAGGTCCTGAGAGCCTCAGGCCCTGTTTGTCCAGAGCTCTGGGTCCCCAGGGGAAAGGCCGGGGGCAGGGACCGGCCCTGCATTCGCTCTGCACCTACCGCCCCCTCTTCCTGCTCCGCAGGCCCAGGAGGTTCTGGAAGGAAGGAGGTCGGCCAAGGGGTCTCCCCAGCCCCACCCGAGCGCAGCCCCTCCTGCACCCTGCGGGGTCCCCAGGCGGTCTGGCAGCTCCAGCTCCGGGGGAGGGGACGGGCCTTTCATCCGATCAGACCGTGATTTACAGGGCACTTTACCTCCAGGAGGGCAGCGAGGGCTGTGCCGTGCGCTCCCAGAGCCCGACCATCTATCTGCCTGTTCTCCGCACACTGGCGGCATGATTTGTGGGTGCAGGGACCTGGGGTGGTCTGCACCTCCTCCAGAGCCCGACCGGACCGCTGGAAGCCACCGCGCTGCCTCTGCCAGCCCGGAAAGCCCCGGACCCCTGTCTGGACACAAACACTAGGACTTATGTATGGTTTCACTTTATTTTTTAAAAAGATTTTATTTGTTTTTAGAGAGAGGGGTAGGGAAGGAGAAAGAGAAGGAAACAGCAATGCGTGGTTGCCTCTCATGCGCCCCCTGCTGGGGACCTGTCCTGCAACCCGGCCATGTGCCCTGACCGGGAATCGAATCAGCAACCCTTTGGTTTGCAGGCTGTGGCTCAAACCACTGAGCCACACCGGCCGAGAGAGGCCTTTGGATTCACTTTATTTCATCCAAGTGTGTTGATGTGAAGCCACTAAATGCAGCCACCACGTCAAGCAGCTCCCGCTGTCCCAGGCCAAGCGCCCTTCCCCGGGGCGTGACTGTGGGGTGGCATGTGGGGCCATCACTCAGCCGCATTGCATGTGGCCGTGCCACCTGCTGACACAGAAGAGCGGCCACGACTGGACACGCATAACCACAAACCCACCACCTGGCCGGTCTGAGCTGGAGAAGAGTGTCCGTGACCGACGTGAGTTGAAGGCGCCATCTCGATGTGACAAGGGAACAGGTGATCAGGGACAGCCCTGGAGCCCCGCCCAGAGGCTGGGGCCCTGGCAGTGGGCCCTGAGCGCCCGGTTTTCTGGAGGCTCCTCAGCCTCCTCCGGGCACCGGCTGCACTTGGAAGGGTCCAACCGGGTTCACATTTACTGGCCGTGGAGGCCGGGGTCGGCCTGACGGCACAGCAGCTCGGGGCGGTGGTGGGGACGCCCCCGTCTCAGGAAGAGGCCGGCGGGCAAGGCGGCAGCAGACTGGCGCAGCGTCAGTGGGACTGACCGCCCCTGTGCAGGTCCTGGCGGCCTTCCTGGTGGAGCTGCCTGATGGCGGTCCCCGCGCAGGCTGCGGGGCAACG